CTCAACAAGGTCTTCGCGTCGCAGTGGCTGAACGCCAGGCAGGTGGTGTGCGGCACCAAGTGCAACACGCTCTTTGTGGTGGACGTGCACTCGAGCCACATCACGCGAATCCCTCTGCTGAGGGACAGGGCACCGGTGCTGGCCCGGGACCAGCCGAGCTGCGGCATCCACGCCATCGAGCTGAATCCCTCCAAGACGCTGCTGGCCACGGGGGGCGAGAACCCCAACAGCCTGGCCGTCTACCAGCTGCCCACGCTCGACCCCGTGTGCCTGGGCGACCGCCTTGGCCACAAGGACTGGATCTTCGCCATAGCCTGGATGAGCGACACCGTGGTCGTGAGCGGCTCCCGCGACGGCACCGTGGCGCTGTGGCGGGTGGACCCCGACATGTGCCACGGCAGCATCGCCTGGCACAACGACGTGGGGCTCCCCGTGTACGCCCACATCCACCCGAAGGACATTGAGACCATCCCCAGGGCCAGTACCAGCCCCACCAACCGCAAAGTCCGGGCCCTGGCTTTCAGCGGCAAGAACGAGGAGCTGGGAGCTGTGTCCCTAGATGGCTACTTCCACCTGTGGAAGGCCCGGAGCACCCTGTGCAGGCTGCTGTCCGTCAGGCTGCCCTACTGCCGAGAGAACGTGTGCCTGACCTACTGCGACGAGTTGTCCCTGTATGCAGTGGGCTCCCAGTCCCACGTCTCCTTCCTGGATCCGCGCCAGCGCCAGCAGAACGTGCGGCCCCTGTGCTCCAGGGAGGGAGGCACAGGCGTGCGTTCACTGAGCTTCTACGAGCACATCATCACTATAGGCACTGGCCATGGGTCCCTGCTCTTCTATGACATCCGCGCCCAGAAGTTCCTGGAGGAGAGGGCCTCGGCCAGCCCAGGCTCCTCTCCAGGGCCGAGAGGGAGGAAGCTCAAGCTCACCTCTGGGAGAGGCTGGCTCAACCACGACGACCTTTGGGTGAACTACTTCGGAGGCGTGGATGAGTTCCCCAATGCGCTCTACACCCACTGCTACAACTGGCCTGAGATGAAGCTCTTCGTGGCTGGGGGGCCTCTCCCTTCAGGCCTCCACGGGAACTACGCGGGCCTCTGGAGCTAAAGACGGCCGCCTAGGTATCCAAGTGCACAGATTTACCTACAGTTGTGTCTGAGTTCTTAATGCTGTGTTTGTGCTTTTAACTTTGTGTGGCTTTTGTCTTCCAGGTGGAACACTACCAGTTTGCCTGAGTTCAGAGTATTCAACAGAGCAAGCGAGCGAGCGCTTGGGAGCGCGATGGATCTTTCTGGCAATCAAAATTTGGCTTTAAGACTTTCTGCACCTTACTCGACCACATCGTCTTTTTGCCTTCTCATTCAAAGAATTTTGACTACTAATTCTTAATTGCTTTTCTCTTTGAGTGATTCACACGTTTCCTTCTCTTTAGGCCGATGGTGAAGTCATGGTCCCACAATTAGTATATATTATTTTTCTATCTTTTTGGTTACCAGTATTACAATATTATTTTGAGTTATTTTTCATTGCAGATACATAGTATTTTAAGAACAGTTTTTGCTAAATAGGGTTTATACATTTGTCATCGATAGCTAGCTGTAGTTTTATAACGTTCCGATTGAAAAATACACTCCAAGTTCAAGATTACCAAATTTTGAAACTTTATTTGTAAGTTGTCTGAATGTTTATATTTTGTACGTTGTTGGTGCTAAAAATGCTTTTGAAAAAGTTTATTCTCTTTGAAAAATGTTGTCTCAGAATATTGGGGTTTTTTTGTACCAAAGCACCAATTGATCAGTACACATCAGTTAATGGAAGGATACTGGTTAATTGAATGCTCAGAATTAATCCAAATATGGAATCACTCTTTCTTCTTTCAACCTTTCGTTATATTTTTACGAACTGTTGTTAAATAGATAAACGGATGTGTGAATTTTTTCACTTCTTGCCTTAGTACTATCAAGCCTTGTGAATACATTGGAATGTTTGTTGTTTTAAGGATGTTGCACAGAGCTTTAGTGGCTGTTGTCAATGCAGGGGTTCCAAGTATAAACGGAGGATGTGTAGTAGGCTGGGCAGAATATATACTGATCCAGTAGAGAAACTGGTTGTTTTTTCTGTTGTTTGTAGCCTCGGTGGTATATTTGAGTACACTTTAAATTTTCTAATTCTGTTTAAGAATTAAATGGCAAGGGAAAAAATTTGCAAACAAGAAAAATCAGCCTAGACCCTACTCATTCTGAAAAAGATTCTTAATTTGTAAAGTCCAAATTAATAAAAATTTATTTTGTGAATTTCAGAGATTCTTAACTAAAGTAGAATAAATGTGTGGTTAAAAGTAGAGGTGTTATAACCCTTAATGTAATATGGTTAGGAAGACTATAGGAAGTATGTTTCAGGAAGATGAGCTAGAGATTAAAAATACGTGGGGTTAGGTTGAAGAAAAGTACTTTGGGGCTTTAGATAAATACAAGTTGTGGACTGTTAACTGAAACAGGTTGTACTTCTCTATATGTGAGAATATTGGACGTGAGAAGGGAGATTGGCTCTTCCCCAAAACTGCCCAAGTTGTGCTGACCTTGGATTAGTATTGTATCACGTCTGTTTTTCCTTAAATGTTTTGGCATATAGACACTGCTTTAGTGTCCATGTGCTACTTGTTGTTCAGTCACAAATGGAACCAAGAAATACTATGAACAGTACTGAAAAGTGAGTTAAGACAGAAGAAATAAGCTTTTGTTTTTAGAGATTGTTTAACAGGTTTACATAGCTGTTATATTAGAAGTAAAATGTATTTGTGTGCATGTATGTGTCTCCAACTCAGTCGTAAATGTCTTGAGAACAGAGAATATAACTGTCAACTTTATATTCTAATTTCTCCACTAATGCCTAGCAAATTGTAGGCAGTCAGTAAATATTTACTGAACGAATGCATTTGCCTTCTGTAGACCTAAATTTCAAGGCTTTAAAACATACACACATAGATACATAAATAAAAATTTACTCTTAAGTCATATGGAATCCTGATGTGTTTTTTTTTACCCCCCCCCTCCGTTTTTCTTAAAATTTACCCTAATTCATTTCCAGAACAGGCATGATACTTACATAAACTTTCCCATGTGTGTGATACCAGAAGATGAAGGAAAATGTATAAATGTTTTTACGAAAAAAATATAAACGACACTGGAATTATAATCTTTTTACCTGCAAACATTTAGATTTGAAATTTTATTTAAAATTTTTCCAAAAATTAATTTGCAAAGAGCTTCTTTCTACTACCTTTGGTTATTTTTTAAACTTCAAAATTTATTTGCCAAAAATTTCCTTCAACATCACACAAGAACTTCCCCAAAGTATTCGCTTCCTTTGGGAACATTGGGAGAACATTTTCAGAGGAAATTGCAATTTCTATTTTGACTAGCGTGTTTTTTTTTTTTTTTAAATAGAGACGAAAGTTTTATTTGTGGATACCAGGGAGGGACAACTGGGAAGGGGGGGGGGAAACCATTGTTTAGGAAGCAGTGAGTTTCTGTTCATGACGATGTGGAATTTGGGATTGATTATGGGTGATGGTTGCACAACCTGATATCACGAAATTGTATACGTGAAAAAGGTTGAATTGGCAAATGTGTTACATACATTTTTATAATAAAGGGTGAAGCAAGAAAACCCACAAGTCACAGGATAGCATATCGGTAGCCATTAAACAGTCTCACAATCCTAAATATCGGGGAGGACGCTAACCAACGAGAGCGCTGGAGGAATACGCAGGTCCAGAGACGAAGCCATTACATGGCCCTTTAGAAAGCTCTGGTGCAGCAGCCACTAAAGCTAAGTATGCGCACATTCCTGAGCAGCAAAATCTCACTCCTGGTCCCAGGAACTAGCAGAAATACTCATGCGCGACCGAAATGACAAGGATAGGGACATTCGTAGCCCTGAGACGTGTGGTGGCCACACAGTGAACATGAGCACATGCCCACCGCAAGCAGTTGGATAAACATGGGGAGGGGGGCGTCCATGCTGTGGAAAGACCAAGCAGCCCCCGCTTCAGGCACTAGGGCACAAAGCTCGCGGGGGAAAGCGCCCTCGTCTGGCTCCCTGCAGGATCTGCAGGACACTTGCAGGCCTGTGAACTCAGTAAGCTCTTGGCGTCAGTCATTCCGGTCCATAAAGTCAGCCCCCCCACCACCTGTAGAGGACTTGGCATGAGAAGAACCGTGTGGGGTCTAGCGAGAAGTCCGCGGCAGAGGGGTCCTGAGTGCTGGCTGGGGTGGCCAGAGCGCCCTGCTGAGCATCTTACTCGGGCTCCCCAGGCCTGGCTGTAGCTGGAGACAGTGGGTTCTGCTGCTGGGAAGATCCCCAACGGGCTGGGCAAAGGGAAGGGGCTGCAGAAACCTGCCCCCCACGCCAGACGAACCCAGAGAGACAGGAGGTGGGGGCAGGTGCCTGGGGCACTTTGGCCTCCTTAAGCTCCCTGCCCCCAGAATCGCTGCAATTGCTGATATTGCTGCTGTCGAGCAGTTGGTGCTCCTTCAGGTGAGCTTGGCGGCCAGGGCTTTCTGCTGCTCATAGGCTGGGTACTTGGTCTTCTCAAAGTGTTTCTCCAGCTCTCCCTGCTGCTCCTGGCTGTAGATTGTGTGCTCTTGCCGCTGCCTCCCAGGGGGGTCTTGGGATGGAGAGGGGCCCATGAAATACTTGCCAGCGGTTCCTCGAGAGAAAAGACGTGGCGAACTGCTCCGGTAAAGTTTACAGTCTAGGAAACCCTATAAGGGGCAGTTCTGCTCTGTCCTATAGGGTCGCTATGAGTTGGAATCCACTGGACGGCACTTGACGACGACAACAACAACAATCTTCACTCTTGCTTTGTTCTCTGTGCGTCGGAGAGGGCTTTTAAGAAGAAATAGAAGGTGCGTTTCTACTCTGATTTGTTGTCTGGTCTATCCTTGGCCCTTACTTCATCACTGACTTACTGGTACATCTTTTGGATGCCAGATCACCCAGGTTGACTTTTTTTTTTTTTAACTAAATAGCCTAAGCTATGTGTGTATTTATATTATGTGGACATTTAATTATTTTGAAATACCTTCTAGTTCTGGGATAAAGTAATCTACAGAAGTACAATTAATTGTGTAACTTGTAAAAATGTGGAATAATTGAAAAAGTAACTATGCCAGCACTCCAGGAAACCCATCAATATAGTTCATTTGAAAATACGTAAGGAATACAAAGCAAAGGAACAAGTTACCTATCACTTTTGCCTGAAAACCCTTAGTTACTTATAACTGTGCATTAAAAATGTTAGTTTTGTTTATCTCTAACTACATATTCACATATTCCTCCCCAAAGCACTTTGCTGACTCAAAAGTTTCTGGTCCTTCCCCTACTCTTTGGAATCAGTTAATTTTTAATGTTTAAAAAGGGGGGGAGCAAACTTTACTAATCAAGGATATCTACTGAAATAAAGTGAGGCCACTACTCTGGAAAAAAAAATCATCTGTTAAATATACTCTAGCATTAATGATAAACAAAATTCTCCAGAGGCTGATTTTTTATCAGGCTGCACTCAGTGATGAACAATTTGTCAAAATTTTTCCATTAATTGCTAATTTAGAGTGATTTTAGAAGGTAATTCACAAAGCCCTCCCGGATATTTTACTGACAGCTTCCTAATCTCTGCAAGTATTAGGTAACCCAGCTACATTAAACATGTCACTATGTGAGCTGCTCAGGGATGCAGTTCAGTGAGAACGACATGTACTAATGTGAAAGAGAGGCTGCAGAGGCCACAGGTGTTTGCTTTAAGGAATGTTATTTTAAGATCTGCTGAAAGCGCTGCCTAAGAGTATTTCCCACCACTGGTCTGTTGCAAACCAAGAAACACCTAGCATTGGAGTTCGGCACCCGTTGAGAGGGCAATGTATTTACAGGAGGCTACCAGGAAGTGGTCAGGCTGGTAACTTGGGGAGCAGGGCTTTTTAACTACTAGAGATTTTTTGCAAAGGCAATGGTCTTTGCTTCACTTGCCCTTCCTTTACCTTTTGTTTTCTATTAAACACTCTGTGACTTTCTTTTTTTAACTTTTTCCCATACAAAAATTTATACAT